ATTTAACATCTCACAGCTTTTTTTATTTTTTCCTTTTTGTCTTTTTTACTGACCGGCAATGGGATTGCAACCCTCGGTGTTGCGCCCGCACCGCGCACAGCCAGTGAGTGGCAACCAGTCTCCACATGGGATCCGAACCCTCGCCGGGAGCACCGCCGCGCTCACAAGCGGCGCACTCTCCAGTGCGCCACCGGGCCGGCCCTCACAGCCTTTAATAACTAAAGGAAATTGTAAATATCCAAGAAGAAGGGTATAATATAGGTCATTTCCCAAAATTATTTGTTTATAAAACTTTTTATTTTGAAAATGATAATAATACATTTAAAATAACATTTGTCATGCTTCTGGTCAAGATGGTAAAATAGACAGTCCCCAGCATCACTCTCTCCCACAAATCAACCAATTTATAACTTTTAAAAAGCAACACAGATGTAGCTGCTACAGATCAGGGGAAGAGGAGAGACCTATGGAGTGCACAACGGCGGGAGAAGCCATGACCGCTCCCACCATTTCGAGCCCCGGCTGCTTCAAGCCTGAAGCTGTTGAGTGCATGGAGCAGGAGCTGGCAAAATCTGCAGCTGTGCCCTTCATATGAAGTTGTTTGGAGGCTGCAGGGGAGAAGAGGGCCTTGGTGGCCCCCAGACCATCAAGACCACTAACAGGTTTCTCGTGAACCCACATAGGAAAGAGAAGCCACAACAACTGAAAAAAAAGAGCCACTCACAGGCTGGTGAGTCATTGCAAGGGACTGGCGCACAGCCCATCCCATGGGAAATGTTTGGAGTGTAGATGGTGGGGGAGATGGGCCCACAGGGGGGAACACTGGGGCACAGCAAGGACAGCTGATCTGCCCCCCAATCAGCATAGGACCACTCGGTGGAGACTGGTCAGGAATATAGAACTGCAGGGGGTGCAAGCTTGCAGAAAAGACTCAGGCCCAGACCAGAGTTTCTACACAACCCGGGTGTATTGGATCTCACAAGACTTGGAAGTACCTATATGGTCAACCATTAAAACCAGAGCTGCACAAAAAACCTTTCCCAGGGAATCAGCAGCAAAGTAGCAATTTAGCTCGGCCACAGAGCTCAAGTACTGATCCCCATAGGAAATCCCCCCATTTTAGAAGTAAGCAAAGGACAACAAATTAGTTCCTGTGCAGAGTTTAATCCAACACAGAACAGCAAATAATCCAACACAGAACTGAAAGAAAAGACAAAATACCCACAGATTGGAGACAAAGTCTGATACTAACTAGTGAAGGTCTAACATCACCAAAGGACACCTATAAAACCTAGAAGGACTAGAAGTCCCCAGGGCTGCCAAGCCAGGGAGGGAGGAAGGCTGGGGGCCTCAGGCACACCTCCCTGATACTGGTAACCAGCCAGTGACAACCACCGAGCTGCTGCAGCAAGTGCCTTGGGCTCTCCTGAGCTGGGGCGGTGGGAGTCTGAGGGCCTTGGCCATGTCTCTCCAACACCTGCAACCAACCCAGTGCTGACCACCGAGCCACCTCAGGAAGTGCCCCAGGTTCCCGAGCTGGGGCAGTGGAGGTGGCGAGGGCTTCAGCCACACCCCTCTGACATCTGCACCCAGCCCAGCAATGACCAAGCCGCTGCTGGAAGCTGTCTGGTCTCTCCTGCAGGAATGAGGGGGGTGCCATGGGCCTCAACCTCGCCCCTCCTCCTTCCTCCTTCTCCCATCCTATTTCCTTCCCCTTTTCCCTCTCCTCCTCCCCGCAACTGCTCTGCAACAGCATCATAGAATATTTTTTTAAAAAAAGTAATATTAATAAATAAATAAACTTTAAAAATAAAATAAAATAACATTTGACAAGGAACAGAAATAATTCTAAGAGCTTTAAATGCTTTATCTCAACAATTGATGTTCCAGAAAGGATCTAACTATAAAATACTGAGCAGTTCTCTTTTACCACAGTACAGTATATTCTTAAATCTCCACCCACTGTGAACTCTCTCTTACCTTCCTGTAGTAACATGTCATAGAATAGTTAACTATTCAGGAATTCAGCTCCACACCGTTGTAGGGCTGAGGTTTTCATTTTCTTTCTGGCTGCTGGATGGGGGTCATTTTCAACTTTTAGAGTCCCCCACATTCCTTGGCTCATGCCCCCTTCCTCCTTCTCCAAAGCCAGCAAGAGCAGGTGAAGTCCTTTTCATGCCAAATTTCTCTGATTAACTCTTCTGCCTTCATCTTTGATTTTTTTTTTTCCTTTTTGTCTTTTTTCGTGTCCGGCAACGGACCGCAACCCTCAGTGTCGCGCCCGTACCGGACCGGGACCGGCAACGGGATCGCAACCCTCGGTGCTGCGCCCACCCCTCGCTCAGCCAGTGAGCGG